GCCCGAGTATTACTCGGGGTAATTTATTTATTTTTATTTATTTATTTTTATTTTTTATTGCAATTTATTTGTTTAAATTTTGATGCAAAACTCAAAATTTAAAAAAAAAAAAAAAAAAAAATTCCTCTTTTCTTTCAAATACTGTCAATAAAATCAATAAATAAACACAAAGAGGTCAGACTTTGCTACAGAACACAGATAAAGATGAATAAAAACATTTTGGCAAAATTTCATTTCAATATTCTAAATACATTTTGAGAAGTTAATGTAATCGCAATCAAAAGTAACGAAAAACACAATTTCTCAGAAAATGCATTAAAGATTTTAATACAGCACAAAAATTTTTTTAGTCACTTTAGACCTTCAAAACTCGCCGTATTTGTACGTTAGGCCCTCTTTTACTTCATTCTTAACTAATTTTGACTTTCTTTTAGCATTTTACTGGTTAAGTTTGCTGCTTGTAGAGATTGGCGTTTCTATTTCTGAATTCGCTGTTTGTCTATTCCCATGTAGCTTTCAAGCATAATGGGATTAATTTCTATTTTTATATACCTGAACATAGGTAAAAGTCCTAAATATCTTGAATTAAATAATAATACAGCAATATCTGCACCCAAAAGCAATGTTTTCAGTTGGACAAAAGTTTCTTTAGGTAAAATATACCTCAAAAGGTTATTAAAATACTCATTATTGTTTTGAGTCTTCCCATGTAGGCATTTATCAGCAAAGTGTCACACAGTGAAAGATGTGTAGTTTTTACAGCTTTTATATTGTTTAATAATTAGAAAATAGTTGTTTAAACTTATTGTTTACATTTTTACGACCATTTAAATGCCAACTTCCGGCATCCAAAAATTCACTTCCGGTTTACTTTTTATACTATAACTTTGCTTCTATTTATTGTAAACACAAAAATAAAGCATTTTTGGAAACCTAAATATATGGCCTATAAAATGAATAAATAAAAAAAAAATTTGAAAATTTTCACCAAAACGACGAATTTAGGGTAGGCACATACCTTAACTTATTTGACTACGAAACTTAGCAAGGGCCTGAGTACGGCCGAGCGTAATAACAGCTTTGAGAGAGAGTGGCCAAAAAGGCAGACGCGCGTAAATCAGAAACTCTGCTTCTCTGACTCAGTAAGTAACTTCGTGGTTTAAATACCGCTCCTCCTTATTAAATATTCAGCAAGATTCCAAAACTACGTTCTGGCCGGAAGTAGTAAGTTGAAGTTAAGAATTTGACAGGAAAGGAACTTAAAATTTAACTGTTAATAAAATTAATATAATCCTTACAAGTTTTACCGAAAGATGCCGAATAAGGAAATTTTTAAGCCCAATATAGTTTTACAAAAAAGCTTTATAATAAATAATACAACACATATAAGAATTCAACCAAAGATAATGAAAGTAAAATAAGGTAGACATATAATATTTCCTTAGCAAGAGATATTAATTATTATTGCCAATATTGACAGAGATTATGATCACGAAATTAAGAACAGTTTTGGATATTATTTTAATGCGTTTTGAAAGAGAAGCATAAATATTATGCTTCGAATCTTGTTATTAAATATTTTCTGAATTTCACTGAGGTATTTCACCACGCGAATTAAAGATAAATCAATGAATGAAAGGTTATCGCTTGCTTTTACTCTAAATTAATGGCTAAATCAGACTGAATAATTTAAAAGTAATTCTTTAAAAGACAAGAAATAATTCCATAGATGGGTTGCTAGATGGTACCCAATATTTGTTCGTATTTTATTCAATGACAATTCACATAGAAATAAATAGATATTAATATAAATTGTGATATAACTGAAAATTACAAATATTACAATGCAGAGCGCATTTACACGTCTTTAGAACGATTTCGGGGCCGCCATTGAGCTTTTCGTAAAATTTCTAGAGCTACTGATTTCCAGCCCTGTTCGAGTACTTTACACAGTCTATGTTTACTCTTGTTCGAGTCACAGAAATCTCATCACTATTCATAGACTTTAATTAGATAATTAAAATTTTTAATTAGAGATTAATTAGAAAGAGCTATTTTCAAGAGATAACGGCACAGTAATCCATATGTGAAACGTCAGGGCACCTCGCAGGAATACGTTGAAAAGGTACACATGCAATACCTGTATTAGTCTTCATTTTTTCACGGAATGCAGTGGTACTTTTCGAAGCGTGATTTGTTACTTTGTCTTGATAAAGCTTCATTTTTTGAAGGTCATTCGGACAAAAATGGAGAAAGGGAATGAGGTTTCTTAAATGGCCAAACAAGGGAGTTAAAGAAAGAAAGAATTCCATTGTTTTAGAGAAACAAAAATGGATTTAAAGAAAGAAGATTGTAAGGACTACATTTCTAGTCAATAGAGTTAGAGAAAGATGGGTCAATGAAGTTAAAGAAGAAATTCCTTTTCTTCTTCTGATAATAATATAGTATGTAAAACTTTCTCTTGGTAAATATAATGAGTTTAAAATTTTTTTTTCCACTCACCTTATTTCTAATTTCCCACTTTATAATAACTAGGATAATCATAAACCCCTTAATGACAGTTTCTTTGCATTGACGGCACCATGTTTCTATATATACGTTCTCCTCGTTTTCGATAATAAATATATATTCCTTTCTTCTTGCAATGATTTAGGTAAACCTTGGTATTTTCTGCATGCTTTCGTGGTGTAAAGGTTAGCACACTCGGCGTGTATTCGAGAGGCCCAGGTTCAAGTCCCGGCGAGGGCGTTGCTCATTTTTCATTTCTCCTGTTTAAAAAATAACCTAGTGACCTTACAGAGTGCTTCATTGAAGGTCAAAATGTATTTCCATTTATTTCCTGCTAAATAGTTTCAATACAGGGTTCTACATATGGTTCCGCTTTGAGAAACGATCATCGGCAAAAGCTGAAAAACATTTATGTTTTTTAGCGTTCTTTTAAGTTGTAAATCTTAGTTGATGGTTGCTATACATGCATTTAAAGACTTTGTGATTGACTTTTGGATCGGATTTTCTCTTGCTACCAACGATTTAACTTTAAAGAGATTAGAAGCAGTAAATACCTTTTTCGGGTACTCGTTTGGAGACTTTTTCTATCTATGCAGAAATAATGATCGGCGGTTTTTCCCTTTCCGGTTAATAGTGTTGCTTATTCTGCATTTAGGAATTTTAACATCATGCATTTCAGAGCGTTTTCAAATTATGGAATAGAAATAGCTCTCTTTGGAAAACGCAAAAACATCTTGTCTACATACGAGAGGCTCTAACCGTAACTGGCATCCATGTTGTTTGGTGTGTGTTTTGGTCTGGAAAAAAAGTCTTTGTATTTCGGTAAACTTTAATTTTGTGAATGTGAAAGTGAGTTTTTTTATATCCATCTTTCATTCCGGTTTCTGAAAATGTGCATCTTTTAACTGGATGAGTAAAATTGAGAAAGTTAGAAGTGTTTAAAAATTTCTACGTGTCAAGCTGCTCATTAGCATACGCATGTGAGTACTTTTGCTTAATTTTGATATTTAAAGACCATGCAAGTGGATTTATAATGCATGTTTTTTAATTATATGCTACTCTTGAATTACGTGCTTGGTCTTGTGCTTCAGATTTAAGTACTTTGAAAGTTACAAGCCTTTTTACGTTGAATTTCTGAGTGGCTCATTTGCATACGTTTGTAAAGTTTTTCTGTTTATTTGAAGTTTATACACCATGTAAAATATTAAATTGATTGTGCTTTCATTCTATACACTTTTGTGGATATTTATGCAAAATTTTACTCATTTGCAACAAGTCTTTTAAGAGATATAAGCTTTTCAAACTTCGAACACGGCTAATAATGGATGCCTTTATTTACAATTGAAGTTTTGGTGCACCATTCAGTTAGTCTTTCTGCGTGGGATGGCGAATAATGAGCGGGAAGTTCTTGAAAAAGAAGATAGAATTTCAACGGGATCGGAAGATACTGTATCTTATATCGCTGACAACGTACTGTCCTTTATTAATGAAAACTCTAAAGAATTGGATGAGGTTTTAGGTAACCCATCTGATAAGGTGAACAAATCTGTAGGTAATAAAATTAGAGAAATATTTAGAAAACTGCAGAATGCAATGAATAGTGTTCTTATTGAAAATGGTGAACTAAGAGGAAGATTGGCCGAAAAAGAGAAATATTATAAGAGGAAAGCATAAAAAGCAAGCTGCTACTTATGCAGAAAAAGTTCAACAAAGATCAAGATCACGATCTAGAACAAAAAGTTTTAAGAAACAAGAAGTAGAATTTGTGACTCTAATATATCCTAAAGAAAGGAATCAAACTTCTGAACAAGTAAAGGAGAAATTAATTAAAAACATTTCTCCAACTGATCTTAAAATAGGTGTGCAGAGAGTACAAAAAATAAAAAATGGTGGAGTATTGATTAAGGTCACTAAATACGACGATTTGTCAATAATTGAAAATGCAATAAGAGAAAATAGTACATTGAAAGAAGAATTGGATGTAAAAAGACCTAAGAAAATACATCCACGAATTATGATTTATAATGTTGATCCTGCCTTGAATGGAGAGGAAATAAAGGATTTACTGAAATCTCAGAATGTCGTTCTAGAGAATGCGATTATAGAACCGAGATTCAATATGAAATCAAATATGGGATGTCATTGGATCGTTTCCTTGGACCCACAATCATTTAATCTGGTTATGAAAGACAAGAAAATTTATTTAAAATGGACAAGGCACCAGATTAGAGAATATAAAAGAGTTACCAGATGCTTCCAATGTTATGGTTTTGGACACACTAAAAAAGCTTGTACAAAAACCTCTATTTGTAATAAATGCAGTTTAGAAGGTCACTCTCAAACTGAATGTACCGCAACAGATTATAAATGTTATAATTGTACAATAGCAAATTCGAGATTTGGACTGGGCCTTAATACTAAACATGAAAATACATTTAAAGAATGTCCTTGTTATATTAGACAAGTTGATTTATTGACCAAAAAAATTGATTATGGCTTGTAAATCTCATACAATTAAAATTTGTCAAATCAATTTACATCATGCAATCAAGGCCACAGAACAATTGAGAGTTGAGGTTACAGAAAGTGATACTGATCTGATCTGCATACAAGAACCTTATGTTTATCAAGGAAAGATATATGGTTTACCAATAAGTGCCAGAGCATATTATAATAAAGGTGAGAACATAAGATCTGGTGTCTTTGTATTCAATGAAAATTTATCCATTTTACAAATTTATGCTTCTAAAGACATAGTTGCTGTTTTGGTGGATGGAAAAAGTCCTTTTCTCTTGATTACATGCTATTTTTCCCCGTCAGAAACTATTGATGATCATTTACGTTGTTTGTCTTCTTTGTTTGATAGATTTAAAAATACTTCATTAGTAATAAATGGTGATGTCAATTGTAAACATCCATTGTGGGGCCAAAACCACATGGATTCAAGGGGAAAAAAATTAGCAGAATTTCTACTTGAAAATAACTTTGTTGTAAACAACAATAGAAACAGTTTTCCCACATACTCTTCAGTATTAGGAAATTCATGGATTGATATTACTGCTTCCAGATTGATTAAAGACATTGAGATATGTAATTGGCAAGTTTCTGATAAAATTAGCCTTAGTGATCATAATTATATTCATTTTGAGATTAGAAATGTGATAATTGATGATACACAAAATAACCAAATTAAGTTGAAGAGATTGAACTGGATTGCTCTAAAGGAGCTTATGTTTGAAAATTTTTCTGGCATTGAAATCAATGAAGATATAGAATCTCAATTACATGAAATTAATTCAATCATATGTGAGATATGTGAAAATGTTCGGTTTAATTATAACGATACAGGAAAAAAGAAAACTAATTCTCCATGGTGGAATAATAGATTAAATACTGAAAGGAAAAAAGTTCGAGCTTCTAGAAGAAGATTTCAGAATTCTTGTGGCGAAGATAGATTAAATTTATAAAAAATTTATTGTAAACATCTTGCAATATATAGAAAGAACATTAGAATTGCAAAGGAAAATCACTGGATTAAAATATGGGATAAATTGTCTCTGCAAAGTCCCTTTGGCACGCATTTTAAAATTGCCACAGATAAGCAGATGAATCCTGTCACTTTTACTGCTATCCGTAAAAGTAATGGTACTTACACAGAAATATAGAAGATACAATAAAGGAAATTATGAACTTCCACTTTATGGAAGATAAAGAAGAGGAGGATGAAAGTGAACATCGGGATATCCGAAGGAAAATAAAAGTTGATTTGGAGTCTTTTAATGATGTTTTGTTTACTGCCGATGAGCTTTCTGCTGCTCTGGAGAGTATGAAAATGAATAAAGCTCCCGGTCATGATAACATTCCTTTGGAAATTTATAAAGAACTTTATTATGTAAATAGGAAATTCATTTTGGATCTATTTAATATTTGTTTTCAACGGGGACATTTTCCTGAGACATGGAAGATTGGCAAATTGGTTTTGCTTTTAAAACAAAATAAACCTCCTGAGCAAGCGGCTTCTTACAGGCCGATTTGTTTATTACCCACTTTGGGTAAAGTTCTCGATAAATTGATTAACAATAGGCTTGTTTTTTTTTTTTTTTTTCTTGGTAGCAATAATCTACTAAATGTAAATCAATATGGATTTACGCCAGGAAAAGATACTATCTTGGCAATTAATAATATTATTGACACTATAAGAATTAATAAGATAAAGAATTTACATACTACTTTGATTGCAATCGACATTAGCAATGCCTTTAATAGCTTATGGTGGCCCAGCATCAAATCAAGACTTCTAGATTTAAAATGTCCTCAAAACCTCTTCAATATTATTAATAGTTATCTAAATAATAGGAAAATTATTTACAGAAGAAATAATATAAATATTGAGAAATATTATAATAAAGGTGCTCCTCAGGGTTCTGTTTTAGGCCCTACACTTTGGAACCTGGTGGCTGATACTGCCTTACAATTGAAATTTGAAAAGGATGTATTTTTGCAGGCTTATGCTGACGATTTTGTGTTGGTGATTTCTGGAAGTAATAGATTAATTATAGAAGAAAAAGCAAAGAATGCTCTAGATAAACTTTATAACTGGTGTAAAGTAAATAAGCTGGATATTAGCCAAGATAAAATGGCTATGATAACAATCCCAAAAGGCTCAAAATTAATCAGATTACCTTTATTGACGTGGAATGGAAAAAGAATCCGCAGCGAAAAAACACTTAAATACTTAGGTATAATTTTGGATACAAATTTAAGTTGGTTGCCACATTTAACTAAATTGAAAGAAAAAATTTTTAAGATTATGAATAAGATGAATAGATTATTATGTATGGATTCTTTTAAAAGTAAAAGTATTTTAAAAGAGTTATACAATAGAGGAATTGAACGAATAATCTTGTATGGCTCACCCGTTTGGTGGACTGGAACGGAAAGGGTGAGAAATAAATTGCTACAGATTCAGAGGGTTGCAATGCTACCCATTACGGGATGCTACAGAACAGTCTCTACCACCAGCCTACAGGTCTTAGCTGGGGTTACGCCTATAGACTTAGTAGCTGAAGCTGAAACGCTGATTTATAAAGCTGTTCATATGAAGAAGAATATAGATTATTGTGACCTGAAGATTTCTAATAGAGAAATTGATCCAAAATTAGAAAAGTTTTATTTTCATCCGGCACAATTTAAAGAGGTTACCTGGAAGACACTTCTTCCAACTGGTGTTGGTTTGGAATTATTCTCTGATGGCTCCGTGATTGATAAAAATGTTGGAGCAGCATTTGTTGCTTTTGCAAATAATAAATTTGTATATAAATCTAAATTAAGATTGAATAATAATTCAACTATTTTTGATGCAGAACTTATTGCCTTTGAAAACGCCATAAGATGGGCTAATGAGGAAGAAAATGAGAAATATATTACAAATTGGGAGATTTCGGTGTTCACAGATTCCCAGAGCATCCTTAGAGCTCTTAATTCTAGAAAATGTTTATCTGCAAAAGTAGATAAAGTCAGAAATTATATTCACAATATTAATTCAAAAATGAAATTACATATAAATTGGATAAAAGGACATTCGAATATTTATGGAAATGAAGCAGCAGATTCTGCTGCTAAGGAAGCATGCTATAATACAGATATTGATATCACGGTTCCTTTATCTCTTAATTATATTAAGAGTGTACTACATGACAAGATTCTCCACACATGGCAACAAAGATGGCATTATGACAAAACTGGACGAAAGGTTTATAAAATATTTCCTGTTGTCAAAGAGCAAAGATTAAGTTACAATAGATTGCTAAATCAATTGATAACAGGACATGGCCAATTTCCAGAATATCTAAAAAGGTTTCATGGGAAAGATATTCATTGCCGATGTGGTCAGGATGCATCTGGAGCATCTAATGGACATTACATTTGGGACTGTGCCTTAACGAAGGAAATTAGAGGAGAATATTTTCGAAATATATCTATAAATAATGAAAAATATCTATATAGCAATAATAAAGCTAAATTAGGACTTATAAAAATTATTACCAATTTGAATAATTATGTATATTTCGATCCTTTTGTTTAATTGCTTAAATTTTTGAGTTGAATTGCATAAATTATAATGTAATTTGTATACATACAATGTATAATTTACTGAAAACTGTAAATGCTTATTGTTCGTTAAGCTAGGCAATATTTGTATTTTATAATTGTTGTTTAGGTTAGCAGTTGTCTTGAGTTCAATTTAGTCATTTTATGTTAAGAAATAGGTGGTTTTTATTCTGAATGAAGGTCGAGATGACCCGTTGGCGGCGCCGACACATCTCCAGCGGAGGATGAGTTTTTGGATAAGTAGTCCTTATTCTGTTGTAGTGTTTATCCAGTTATCTTTCAGTTTGTTTCTTTTAAATTGCCGGTTGTGCTAATTTTGGCGGTACGGCTTATTTTCTTAGATTAGATTAGATTGTCTACATACGACATTTTGAAAGAAGGAAAAATTTAGAAATAACAGACGACATTTCCGATTTCAGAAGCAGAAGTGTTTATTCCAAAATATTTCTTTTTCGAATTCTTTATCGAAATCGTTGTAAATATGTGTGAACACCCTATGTACACCAGTTGCAAGAGCTCTGGTATCAGCCCCGTCTATAGCAGAAAATATTAGTAGCCTGCTGTGTTCCGTGGTGTACTGTAGTGGAGTGGAGGTGACCCTTAAAATGAAAATCCGTTTAAAAAAGCTGTTTAGGGAACGCCCATAAACAAATATTATACAAGTCCCAAATTTTAACTACTAGATTTATCGTAAAACACATGAAAAACTGTCTATAACATTTTTATATTAAATTGTCATTATTTTTAAATTCTTTAAAAAGGTCTCTACTGATTTATTAACTCTACTGATTTCTCTACTGATTAAGCATTAAAATTCCTTCAAAATTGGCAGATGTACATTAAAAATAAAATTTATGCTAACTGAAAATAAAGAATTTTCATATTTGGCCAAGAATCTGAAAATTTCTTTCATTGTAACTCGCTAGACAGAGAGCAATATTTCTACATCAAAGAAAGTCAGACGTAAAGGTAAACATCACTGAGAAATTGCAATTCTTTTCAAAACAACTCAAGCCAAAACCAATTACAATAGTATCAAAATCAGAGCAACAATAATAGGTTAACCTTATTCCAAGCAATTATTATCCGACACGGATAAAGAAAGATTAAACTTCGAAATTGATTTCATTCTCCATAATGTTAGGTGAGAATAAACAGTTTGAACGAGCGGACAGAACAAGCGTTAAGTGAGGGCGCACGCCAAAATGCAACACTTCACCATCACATCAAAGAGGAAAAATTGGCAACCTACAAGATGGATGCAAATTGCGATTCTATTCATTAATATGTAATAAAGCTCCGTGGCCCCTTCACACAGACCCACCCCACTTGTCTGCCTCGCGGTTACAAAAGCGGCCAAATTCCAGGCAGCATCCTAGTAATTTCTTTTGCATACTTTCAGAAAGTGAAAGAACACTCATCACGTTCTTGTGGCTGAAGTGAGTAAAATGAACTGCCGTGCCTTGGCGGTAGATTTAATAAAGGTATCAGTTGGGCTTCCAGGCAACTGAATGATGGATGGGCGCTCATTATTATCACACTATTATCATTCAGATTACAGGCGGGCAGCTCTAGTAATTACATTACATTACAGTACTGAAAATTTTTGTAAGTAGAGTCTCTCTTTCTCAAAGTGCTAAAGGTGACAATGATTCTAGTATCAGAAGCAATGAGTCATCGTCATGAATAGTGATTTTTACCAAGTGACAACCATGGACGTGACTCAGTGAAGACGCCCGCGGTTTATTTTTGATAATTTGCTGGCTATACAACGGGATACGCTAATATTAGGCGGTTACAGTTGAATGTATTGGGTTGTTCGAGAGAGCTTAATTGTACTTTTTCATAGCCAACTTCACACTTAAGCCGCATAGTTATTATATATTTTGACAGCTGATACAGCAAGGCTTGTTTGTGAAAAAGTTCGATTGATTCTATGAAGTAGTTTTTGGTCGGTGCCCATTCAAATATGGAAAGCGAAAATCAGCATTTTCGGCATATTTTACTTTTTTACTATCTAAAAGGTAAAAATGCTGTTCAAGCAAGAAAACAATTATCCATTGTGTCTGGAGAAGATGTACTGACAGAATGCCATTGCCAAAATTGGTCTGCAAAATTTAGATCCGGCAATTTTGATCTTGGAGATGCACCACGTTCTGGAAGGCCAGTTGAAGTTAAAGAACATGAGGAACCATATGTCGAGCTTTGAGATTCAATCTAGGCATTTCAAACGACCATGAACAGTCAAATTCGATAAATTTAAATTCTCCGCGATCTCATGACTTGTTCGCCAGTTTGCATCAATTAATGCATTTATTGTGGCCGCCCAGATGGTATAGCGGTCAGGGAAGCTGAC